GCGGCCACTGCACTCCAGTCTGGGCAACAGAGTGAGACTCCAACTCAAAAAAAAAGAAGAAGAAAAAGAAAAAGCACTTAGAGGAAAATTTACAGTTGTATGCACTTACAATAAAAGAGCGATCTCAAATCAGTAAGCTAACTTTCTACCCTAAGAAACTAGAGAAAGTATAATAAACTAAACCTGAAGCAAGCAGAAAGAAAGAAACTAAAAATGAGTAGAAAGGATAACAGAGATAATGAACCAAACCAGAATTTGTTTCTTTGAAATGATCAATAAATATAACACGATTCTTTGGCTAGACCAAGGAAAAAAGAGAGATAAATCAAATAACTAAAATCAGGAATGAAGAGGCTGAATCACTACTGGACTTACAGAAATAAAAGAGAATTATAGAGGAACACTATGGACAACTGAATGCCAATTAGATGAAGTGGACAAATTCCTAACCACACACAGCTACAAAACTGACCAAAGAACTAGAGAAGCTCAATAGATAGGTAAGAGACCAAACCAGTAATCAAAAATCTTCCAACAAAGAAATTTCCAGAACCAGATGACTTCACTTGTGAATTCTACCAAACATTTAAAGAAGAATCAACACCAATATTCACATTTTCCCAAAAACTGAGGCGTGAAGAGAAGGAAGCACTTCCTTACGCATTCTATGAAGCCAGTTATTATGCTAGTACCAAAGCCTGACAAAGACATCAACAGGAAAAAAAAATTACAGACCAATATTCCTTGTGATCCAAAAATCCTAACAAAAAATAGCAAACTGAACTCAGCAGCACATTACAAGGATCACATACCACGACCAAGTAGGATTTATCCTAGAAATGCAAGGTGATCCAACACCTGAAAATCAAACAATGTAATTTACCAAATCAATAAAAAGAAGAATATACCTCATGATCTCATGGTCATCTCAATAGATACAGGTCAAGTATTTCACAAAACCAAGCATCCTTTCAGTTAAAAAAAAAAAGAACAGATACAGAGAACACACAGCAAACATTACACATTTGATGGGGAAAGATTCAAAGCTTTCTCCCTAAGATCAAGAACAAGACAAGGCTGTCTCAACATGTCTATACACACTGTACTGTGATTTCTGGCTAGGGAAATTAGGGAAAAAGACAAATAAAGGACATCCTGACTAGAAAGAAAAACTATCCCTATTTGCAAATAATTTGATGACGTATATAGACAATTCTAAGAACACACACACACACACACACAACTAAAGCAAATGAACAAGTTCATCAAGGTGACAAGATACAAGAGCAATAACCAACAATCTACCACAGTTCTCACCTCACACCCATTAGGATGGCTACCATCAGAACACTATAAAATAACAAGTGTGGACAAAGTTGTAGGGAAACAAACCAGTCACAAAAAGACAAATACTGTGCAATTCCACTTACATGAAGTACCTAGCGCAGTTATACTCATAGGGACAGAAAGTGGAATTGTAGTTGCCAGGGTTGGGGGAAGGAGAAAATGGGGAGCAGCGATGTCATGGGTGCAGGGTTTCAGTTTTACAAGATAAAAAGAGTTCTGGAGATGAATAATGGCGATGGCGACAACAACGTGAGCATACTTAAGGCCACTGAACTGCATTCTTAGTGATTAAGACAGCAAATCTTATGTCATGCATATTTCACAATTTAAAATAAACCTGTTTTACAACTAACTGTATTTTTATTTTTATGCATTAGCAATGTACAATCTCAAAATGAAATAAAAGAAAACTCCACGGACAACAGCATCCAAAAGGATGAAATACTTAGAAATAAATTTAGCAAAAGAAGTGTCAGACTTACACACAAAAAACTACAAAACATTTTTGAAAGAAAATAAAGACCTAAACAGATGGAAAGACATTCCATGTTCAGAATTAAGATGGCAATACTTCCCAAACTGGTCTACAGATTCAGTGTAATCCCTATTGAAATCTCAGCTAGGCTGGGCACGGTGGCTCAAGCCTGTAATCCCAGCACTTTGGGAGGCCGAGGTGAGAGGATTGACTGAACCCACAGGTTCGAGACCAGCCTGGGCAACTTGCCGAGACCTCATCTCTACAATAAAATCAGAAAATTAGCCGGGCGTGGTAACGCACACCTGTAGTTCTGGCTATTTGGAAGGCTGAGGCGGAAGGATCACCTGAGCCCAGCAGGTTGACACTGGGGTGACCATGAACATGCCACTTACACTCTAGCCTAGGCAACGGAGTGAGACTCTCACTCAAAAAAACAATATCTCAGCTGATTTCTTTATAGAAATTGACAAGCTGAAGGTATACAAATTGGGAAGGAAGCAAAACTTTCTGTTCATAAATGACATCATCCTATATACAGGAAAATCTGAAGAGCTGATGTAATAAATTAAGCAAGTTGCAGGGTATGAGATCAACATACAAAAATCACTTATTTCTATACAACAGAAATGAACAATCTAAGAAGGAAATTAAGGAAGCAATTCCATTTACCATCATATTTACAATGTTCCAAAACAATAAAATACTCATAAATTAACTTAACCAAATCACTGAAAGATTTGTACATGGAAACTACATTACTGAAAGACAGTAAAAACCTAAATAAGTGAGAAGGCATCCAATGTTCACGTTTTGTAAGACTTAATATCGTTGAGACAGCAATACTACCCAAGTGATCTAGATTCATGAAGTCTCTGCCAAAATTCCAATAGCCCATTTGTGCAAAGATGAAAACTTGATCCTCAAATTCACAGGTAACTTGTAAGGGGTTCCAAATAGCCAAGATAATATTGAAAAAGAAGAAAAGCTGAAAGTACTACACTTCTTTGTTGCCTAGGCTGGTCTTGAACTCCTGGCCTCAAGTGATCCTCTCGCCCCAGCCTGATTCCAAAGTATATTACAAAGCTACAGTAAACAAAATAGTGTGATACTGGCATGCAGACAGATGTATAGACCAATGGAATAAAATAAACAGCTCTGAAATAAACCTTCACACATATGGCCAAAAAGTCTTCAACAAGGGAAAAGACAGTCTTTTCAACATGGGTGGGGAAAACTGGATGTCCACATGAAAAAGAATAAAGTTGACACTTACCTAACACCAAGTACGAAAATTAGTTCAAAATGGATCAAAGACTTAAATGTAAGACCTAAAACTCTTAGAAGAAAACATAGCAGGCAGGTGTGATGGCTCATGCCTATAATCCCAGCACTTTGGGAGGCTGGGGCGAGAGGATCACTTGAGACCAGGAGTTCAAGACCAGCCTAGGCAACAAAGAGATCCTGTGTCTACAAAAAATATATAAAAAATTAGCTGGGTATGATGGTACACACCTGTAGTCCCAGCTACTCGAGAGACTGAGGCAGGAGGATCCCTTGAGCCCAAGAGTTAAGGCTGGAATGAGCCATGATCATGCCCCTGCACTCCAGCCTGGATAAACCCTATCAGAATAGCAAAACCCTATCCTCCCCCGCCACAAAAAGAAAAGAAACATACCAGAAAAGGTTCTGACATTGGATTTGACAGTGCTTTCTTATATATGACTCCCAAAGCACGGGCAACAACAACAAAAATAGGCAAACTGGACTTCATTAAAATAAAAACTTTTGTATATAAAAGACACTATCCACAGAGAAAAAAGGCAGCTGACAAGGATGAAAAAAAAATGTGCAAATGACATAGCTCATAAGGTATTCAGAATATATAGAGAACACCTACAACTCAATAACAAAAACTCAATTTAAAAATGGACAAAAGACTCAAGTAACATTTCTCCAAAGAAGTTAGTTATCAAATGGCCAATAAGCACATGAAAAGCTGCTCAACATGACTATTAGGGCAATGAAAATCAAAACCACCACAAAATACGACCTCACATCCATTAGGATGGCTACAACCACCAAAACAGACAATGGCAAGTGTTGGCAAGGATGTTGAGAAGTCAGAATACTTGCCCACTGCTGGCAGGAATGTAAAATAGTCCAGCTGCTGTGGAAAACTGGACACTCCTCAGAAAGTTAACCACAGGATTACTCCAAGACTCAGCAACTCTACTCCTAGGAATCTACCCAAGAGAACTGAAACCAGGAACTCAGACAAGTATGGGCACACAAACACAGCAGCACTGTTCACAACAGCCAAGAGGGAGAAACAACCCGAATGCTGGAATTCCATCCTCCAGATGAGTGGGTAAGCCAATGTGGTACATGCACACAAGAGAATGATCCAGCCTTTAAAAAGGAACGAAAAGCTGACACACGCCGCAGCACGGATAGACTTCAAAAACCTTAAGCTAAGGGAATAAAGGCAGTCATGAAAGTCCACAGCCACATACTGCCTGATTCCATTTACATGCCACGTCCAGAACAGGGAGTTCCTCAAGACAGGGGAGACTGGGGGCTACCAGCGCTGGCAGGAGCGGGGAACGGAAAGTGACTGCTCACAGGGACAAGGTTCTTCTGGAGGGGGTAAAATATCCGGAACTGGACAGAAGCCGTGATGCACAGCCTAGAACGGAGGCTAATTCCTCTGAGCAATGTACTTTAGAAGAGTGATTCTTCATGGTCTGTGAAGGATATCTCAAACTTTTTTTTAAAAGGCGAACATGAACCCCTTGTGAAATGGAAAGTCAGTAGTAGATATCCGCATTTTCCCATGCTCTTCTGAAAAGAGCAGCAGCCCCAGCAAGACTTGCAGTGTGCAGCCCGCATCTCACCTTGAGGTGCTGGTGCATGCAGTACCGGCACACCTTATGCTTCATCTCGTGCGTGACATCGCTTGAGGAAGGAATAAACCCACACTTTGGCTGCAAAACAAGCAAAAGGGAGGAAAACATTTAGGAAGAAATCACGTGCCTTTAAATAGCCAAGTCACTAACTACAATGCAGTGAAGAGACATGCGTGTTAGGCACAACTGTCCCAGAAGCGGTTTTCACCTTCACTCCCCCCGCGGGGCAACGATTCCACGTCTTGTCACAGAAATGTCTCTGCCCCTATCTAGGGAACCCGCCGGCAGAACACTCCCAAGGGAAGCTCGGCGACGCATTTCTGCTGGCCTGACACAAGACAACACAGCAGCTTTGTACTTTCACTGAAGATGTGACGAGAGGACTCCAGGAGTAGGGATGGGACCAGGGATCCCAGCAATCAGAGGCAGAGCCACTGTTCCCACCAACACCACTTGTGGTCCCTCTGAGAGCCCTGCCTGTGCACACACAACGTGCCAGGACTGTGCTCCACCCAGCACTAAAGAACGTGACTGGGAAGCAGAACATTCACCCACACAAGAGGATCACGAGGCCCAAGAGCTCAGGCCGAGGGCATGACCCGGAGTCATTTCCTCAGCAATATGGAGGATGGAGACAATGGCCAGAATGTGCAAGGTGGCTTCCCGAGGGACCCAAGCCTCCCTCGATGTGGGCGGTGCAGAGCCGAAGCAAGGGTGTCCCTGGCCTTACCCAGCCCCCCCATCCTGCACCAGACAGGAAATTCAAGACGCCCGGCCACCACACTCGAGCACCTCTGAGCGCCACATCAGCCCTTGTGTCTCCAGAAGTCCTTCCTGAGGTCACAGAGCATCCCCGGCCTAAAGGACAAGCCCCGGACGGGGTCCAGCGCAGTAAGCTGAAGCCAAGTGCCAAGAGGTCACAGCCAGGAAGAGGCACAAAGGAAAGCTGGGGAACCCTGGCAAGCTGCATCCTTGAGCAAAAGGGGGACCGACAGATTCCCATCTGGTGACCCTTGACCAGGGCTTTTACCAGCCCTGGCCCACAGGTCAGGCTTTCCTGTCGTCACCTCCCAGGAGTGAGCCTCAAGTTGGGGTCTGGGAGCCCGCGGGGGCGCAGGACACAGGGGGCGGCTCTGAGAGGAGAGGGATGTCTCTGGGAGCTCAGGATGCCTGAGAAGGGGCCCCTGGGTCCAGGGAACACGCCCTTGAGGCACACGACCATCTGACGCACAAACCGGGAGCGACCTTTCCCTTTTACCCACATCACTTGCCCCGGACAAAAGATCACCTTAATCTCTACACACAGAATTGGTCGGTGCTCTGCAAAATGGTAGGTCTGAAGTCGGGTCAAATTGGGAAGGCACATGGCGTAACCACTGAGAGTATCCAGGTCCTTGTCACAGCGAGACTCTGAAAAAAACAGCAAGGATTACACCCAAAGGTCAGTTCGAGAGATGAGATGAGCCCCACCCAAGAGTCACCTGCTTCTGGGAGTTACCTCCGAGCCTGACGAGAGCCTCGTATTTACTTGGGGACTTTGGGACACCCACAGTAACGTGTAATTTATGGAGGTTTTGAGGCCTCATGGTATCAGCTTGAGCTCTGGAGGGGCTGCAAATGTGGGCGGCAGTCAGCCATGTCTATGTGCCTGAGCCCCAGGAAAAAACAGGACACCAAGGCTCACCAAGTTTCCCAGTGGGCAACATTCCGTGTGGGTCACAGATCATCACTGGGGGGGCGAGTGTTACCCACGGCCCCTGGGGGCAAAGACCCTGGAGACCCGAGACTCCGTGCCGGGTGTCTCCTGGATCCCCTCCCGTACCTCTCCCCTCAGCTGGCTCCAGCTTATCCTTTTGCTATCATACTCCATAGCCAGGACAACAACAGTGACTTCTGTGGGTCCTTTCAGCAAATTAGCCACGCTGAGAGTGGCCCTGGGAATCCCAAATGTGCAACTGTTGTGAGGGTGATCTTGGGGATGGCTCCCATGACTCCCTTAGCCCAGGGACCCACAGAGGAAGAAGGCTGCAGCCTCGACCTTCCTCTCAAACCTGGGCCCTTCCAGTCCCAGGTGAGTATTCCTCAGCCCCAACTCTGGTGGAGGCACAAGCCCAGGCTCTCGGTGCCCAGAACGGACCTTCCTCCTTCTCCGCTGCGAGCCTCACTCACGTCATTATGAGGAAGGGCAGCCCGGTTCCTACCACTGTGAAGGGGTGACCTTCCGTTGTCGGGAGATGAAATGGGAGGCTCCTCCTGCCCCAGACAGAGACACCAGACCCCAAATGGCTGGCTGGCTTCCATTTTCCAAATCAAATCAAAAAAACTATGCAGGCCAATCGCCCACCCTCAGTGCCCAGCTGTGGTCTAGGAAGAGGCATTTCCACCCTCAGCACACGAACTTGCCTGTGAAAATGATGCTCTGACCCGGCTCCTGCCCAGGAGAAGGCGAGCGTGGGGGGGTAAGGC